GACATGCTGACTTAATTAATCGATTTGTGTAACGTTAGCAGTGGCTTGATTCAAATGTCGCTTATTTCGATCAGTATTGACAAAGATATTACATTGTGAGTAGAATCATAAAAACGGGCAAAACTTTTGAAACAACAACAGAACACAGCATACAATGTTTTGAAATTTTAAAATCATTAGGCTTGATTGGGCCAATCAATAATTAGATCCGTAATAGTAAAAAATTTGGTACAATTAAAGTAAAAAAGTTACAACGTTGGCCAACTTGTTCTCGTCACTAACTGTTTAATTGTCTGCATAAAACAGGTTTGTTTTGTTTCTAGGAAATTCAGGTTCTAGGACGTCAGGATCATGCACACTTTTTATAGAGCGTTCTGGTTTATTGAGGATAAGTTCGGATTGATGAATGCTCTGTTCTGGTTTCGACTGCGAAATTATCCTAAACTGTCTTGAACAGTGGTCTCCTCAAAATGCGTTCTGGTTTAAACAAGTATCCGAGACTATTTCGGATTGTTTGACATTTTTTGCTTGTACGCATCATGTCTTGCACAGTTTCCAAACAGTTTCGAATGTTAGAACCAGAACAAACCTAACGTGTCCATTGGAAAGTGACGAGTTCAACTTGTAATTGACAATTGTCACTCCCTAGTTGTTACTTGCTACTTGCTAATCGAGTGTGCATAAATTCAAAATTAAACAAGTCATCCTAGTTAAATAGTAGCTGTGAATGCTGCCATGGAACAAACTAGTCGCCTAATTTTAGACCCTCAACACTTTATTCAAGAATCATGTTCTTTTTACAAATTCTGGTTTTGTGAATCAGTCAAAATCTTATAGTTCCATTCCAAGTGAACAATTGAAACAGTCAAGATTTTTTGGGACAGTCCAACATTGTGAAATTAGGTACTATCCATGACAATTGAACAATTTCCACAAATATATTTGTTATTCTAGACGTGTTTTGCTAACACCGTAGCTTCAAGCTACGGTGTTAGCGGGACGCGTCTAAAAAAATGAGAAGATTGTTTCATTATCATGGATAATGTTATTAATTTCCATCAAGTAACGAGTCAGTTCATTCATAATTGTAAGACTACCCGACACTGTCGAGCATTTACAAAACACAAGCAAAGGGACTGTATGAATTCAGAATTACATCAAAGTCTGATATGAGAAGGAAGAATCATCTTTGAAATAAATCAAGGTGTTGAAAGGATAATATGGATGGTTAAGCTTACCGGGAAATGGTGAAATCTTCTTGCCTGGATTGTTTGGTTGGTTGATAAGGCATCGGTCTGTTAGCTAGGATGGGCACACAATCACTTTACCACCTCTCATTCTCCCTCTATTCTCAAGGTGCTAGAGTTTTTCTTTATCGAAATGTTACTAACCTTACCTTCGTATGAATCTTCTCAATGATAATAATGAATCGTATTCTGACATGAAAGTGAGTAAGTAGTTGGAAAATTTTGGAAAACAAATTATCAGTGTTTTGAGGTTATATATTCGATAGGAGAAATCGAATAATCTGTAGCTCGTATGAATAATGACCCAAATCATTGAAGCGGCAAATGGAGGGATATATGATGATATTATAGAAGTTGCTTGCAGCATCGACATTTCATACTGAGAAATTATTTTAGAAATTTAATAGTCGAATAATTCTTCTTGCTTCAGATTTTTCTGTCAATCCAATATTCTGGTAACAGATAAATAGATTTCAAAGACAAAAATGACGAAATAAAAATCAAGAGAGCATTGATTATTTTTCCTACTCATCAGTCAGAAATCAAATTTCAAACATAATCTGGTGAAAAAAAGCATTACCTACATAATTTTTTTCAACTTTCTCAGTCTTAGCTTTACATCAACTAAATACTAATAAAATATTTCAACGGGAACGTCTACATCTTTTTCCTTTGACATGCTTAAAGCGGAAAAAATGTTGCGTATGAAATATCAACACATTTTCTTCAATCAAGTATTTATATTATTTCACCTTCTCATGGTTTGAGCAGCATATTTTATGAAAATTATAAACCATATCCAATACATTCATGATCCGCTTATATTTTGTTACATACATAAACATAACATATGTTACATACAACATAAACGAGGGCGGAGATACAAGTATCTCCTTCTATAGATCGACAGAGAACTCACTCCTCGAATATCAAAGAAAAACGAGGCTCCCTAAGGCGGTCCACCAAGCTTCGACATCTACCGCCGACGAGATTCGTCCTCTGCCTTTCACTGCAAGGCAACAAGTTGATAATTAGAGCCCAAACACTACACTATTATGATTCATAATCAGACAACGTTGTTTCGACCCGCCATAGGTTTCACCAGGGTGCTAAGCTGACATCTCCCCTTACGCCTCCTCGTTTATCTTCAATGTTCGAGAATTGAGTTCGCTGTCGATGCCACAGATGGCGATGTCGATGCCACAGCAAAGGAAGATGTCATCGCACTTACCTATTTGGGCTGTCAAGAACAGTTGAATCCAGCAATGCATTTGTGGTTCAGCCCAAGACCTCTAACGATACTTATGGCGGGTCAGAACAGGGATGTTTGGGGTGAATCATAAATGCGTTGTGTTCGGGCACAAATTTTCAACAAGCATAAGATGATGTTTTCATTATTCATCAACCTATTTCTGCACAATTCGAAGAGTGGGTCATTTTGACTGTTTTGCCTCTTTTTTGGGAAACACTTGATTTTTTTCACTAGGAAGTTTGATATTAGAGATGAAACGGATAGCCGGTAACTATCCGGCGACCTAAATACTATCCGGCAGAATACGAGCGCCTATCAGGCCGAATATTGGATTAAAAAAAATATTTTGAGGGAATTTATTGCCTCAATTGGTTAGTATGGTTGTATGAAATACAATCAGTAATCACACAATAATTCTACAACTTAGAAAATGAATTAGTACTCAAACTGCACTACAGGCAAATTATAGCGAATGAATGTTAAGAGGAACCAAGCGGCTTCAATTTTCTTTGTGAATAAGGCCAGCTTCAGAAAAAATATTTTGATGCAATCTGCTGAAAGATAGATTTTGGCAGACTGTCAAATAAGGGCCAAAATTGCGATCAATTGGTACTGACTGAAGATAAAAACAAGCTCACATGCTATTGCGTTTCTTCACGTTGAACCTGGCTAGTATTGTTTTCATTTGCTACCTCATCAAAGCAACCCTATGAGCTTTGCGGTACAGCTTTTCTCATCCAAGCACACCTAAGTGGCTTATTTTGAATCTCGGGTTTATTTTCAATCGAGTAGTTTTCAATTTCATTTGTTTTTTCAGAGATTTCAAATCATATTATCGTTTTAGACAATGGAAGTCCAAAATACTGAAATACGCCATCAAAAATTATCAACCACCTTCAAACAAACACGGAGTTTTCACTTGTGGAGTTGAAGTGCCAGGATAGGAACAAAACGCCCCCCGTTTAAGAAACTATAGAAAGAGAAACGAAACTTCAAGTCAAGTTCCTGTCCTGTCGCAGTGCGCATGGACTTAAATTGCTATCCGGTTCATCTCTAATTGAGATGAACCGCCACCAAGGTGGTAAAGACATTGTCTTGGCAGGTCATGAAGAACTCAAGAAGAATAAAGGCAAGATTCTTTGCTGAAAGTCTTCGATGTTGCTGGAATTAACTCTATCATTGGCTCTTCCTCATCTGCAACTGTATTCTTTGTTGTTGTTTTGTTACATGATAATTAAAAGCTTCAAAAATGTTATTTCTGTGGTTCCCTATAAACAACCGAAGTTGGTTTATATTACCGGATGAAAATACTATCCTTCTTTTTAAACATTTATTTGGTGATGAAACTAATCCGGAAATCATAAAATAATTCTCATAATATGAAAATGTCCACTTGCCGCTTCAATCAGACTGTTAACTTTGGAAAAACTGACCACTCTCATCATTTGTGAATATCCAACAAATTAGTAATATAACATACCTCTTTTGTTGATTATCATAGTTATGAAAATATTCAAAATTAATTTAAGAATGGGCGAATCCTATGGAAATTTGTAGTAGGTAGTAAATACTCTTGCAGAAACCTCCGTTTCTCATATTGATCTCCAATACGTGAAAAACATGGCAGTATTTAATGATTCAACTTTACAGTCAATCTGGGGTACCGAGAAAGTTGTAGACCAATTTTTAAAAGAGAACGCTTGTTGATTGCACTCGCAATATGAAATGTGTCGTTTTTGTGCATAGGAACCTTGATTTGNGTTTTTGTGCAAAGGAACCTTGACTATAGCATTCACGATCGAGATATTCGCCACGCTACTGTTCTGAGGGTTTCTTCGCATAAAAGTGACTATTTTAAAAAATCTCCATTGTACAATGCCAGACTGCCACTTTCTATAAAGAAGTCGAATTCTGAAACTATGTTCAGCAAGAAAGTTAAAAACTATTACTGGACAAATGTTACTATAGCCATGAGGAATATTTAGGATACTTTTGAAGAAGAATAATAACATTTTTAATCACTGTTATGTTTTAATTATTGTTTTTGAGATTCAGTTTCAGTGTTCTGAATGGTGATTTTGTCTTATTTTATATATTGATAAATGACTACAGCAAACAAAATTGCTACATTTTCAATTACTATTATTTTATATTGTATATTTGTCAATTTGCAAACATTTCTTTTTATCTCATCAAGTAATGTACTCTGAAATCTATTTTTTTATTTAATTATTCATTTTCGACCTACCATATAAACGCTATGTATAGCATATGGTGAACAAATATTACTGTCATTATTTAGAACGAATGTGGATTGGGCAAAATGATTTTTTCCACCGCAAACGTATATTAGTGAAACACTAATTTGTTGGATATTTGTCAATTTGACCTACTGTAGATCTGAAATTGAGAGTGTCAGTCTATTTTTGACGAGATTTTTCTTCTGTACACACACAAGAGTTGTTAAAATTAGGCCGATGACAATGTAAATGAAATACTTATTACATATATAAATTGTATTGAGTTATACATTATTTCAAGTAGAACACTAATATAAAAGTCATACCCCACAATACAAAATGTCTCTTGGAGTCAGCAAAGGTAAATAATTGTATATGAAGAGAAAGGTGAAAACAATGGTTTTTTGCCACGAATTTTAATGATGGGACTCTTAGAAACATTTCGTATATCAACAGGATAAACATGATATATGAATGAATCTTAACACAAGTTAGCTTTCTAGAAAAAAATGAGGTTACGATAGTATCACTGCACATATCAATAGATGGAAGTGGAAGGCTCCAAATTTTGTTGTTTTTTTTTTAATTTAAAACAAAAAAATTTCATATTCGACTGCGAAAAAAATGACAGTGGAGATTACCACCTAGTTTCTACAAATCCAGAACGTAGCTGAATCAATTATAAATTTAGTATGGTTGTTGTTGATTTAAAAAAAAATCATATGAGAACATGAACTTGGATTCAGCTGTCCACTTCGAAGTGGAAAGCTGAAACATTGATGTGTGCAATAAAAATATCGCAAAGCTCAACATTGATGTGTCAACAATAAGCCAACTACTGCTTCTTACCTCAAATCTGATGTAAAAAACTAGCCTAATCATTATTATTGTGTCACCATTATCGATATCTTTTTGATAACACAACAGTAATCATCAAATAATAGGTGTAATGTAATATAAACAAAACTATACTTTTCCTTACATTAAACTGTATAATTGGCTAAATTCAGACACCTCTTTTAAACTGAAGTTATTTTTCTCATCATCACGACTCCCATCATCATTCACGAATAGAAAAAAATCTATTGAAAATCAGTATCGTTTTTTTGTAAAAAATTAAATTCATAGATATATTGACGGTCCCAAATGGATGTTCCCAATAAGGGAAAAAAGTAACCCATTATGCAGGAGTTGAATTGAAAAAAATATTCTATATTCAAAAAAGCAATATTTATACCCTGTTTAACCTTATATCTATTTATTCGAAAAACATCTTTCAACAACGTAAAATTAAAAAAAATAATGAGTTTTAGATAAATAAAAGTTTCAACCAACTATACAGAGTATGAAGATTCGAAAATATAAGGATCGCTTTGGCAAAAAATTAAAGAAAAAAAATTCATTGAGCCAGTATGGCAAACAACACAAGAACATCTGATCAATAAACATTTATAAATCAACATTTTCTTCCAACTGTTGGGGATAAAGTATAATCTTGGAATGTCTGCGTGTTTTTATGCATGACGTTTCCTCTATTACTGCGGCCGACATGATCAGTTCATGTTTTGACCCCATCAACTACGATGATCGTATTTGACTCTGATTTTATATTCGTGGCTTCGTTTCTTCAAATTGGATTACCTGACCTTGTTTGTGTACCTATAAGTACAGGTAGCCAGATTTTATTGATGTTCATTGCCTCTTCTTGAACCTCTATTGCCTATCTATATACTTTCGGATTATATAGTGTACAAGTATATAGCGTATTATTGTTTATATAGAGAAGCAATAGAAATTCAATAAAACAGGGATAATTTCAATAGAAAAGAAGAAGCAATGAACATCAATGAAATCTAGCTACCTGTCCCCTTGATTGTAAACATGCAAGGTCAGGTAGTAGTAGGTAATGCGGCTGGAACGACGGAAACAACTAGGGCACTGCGATCGTTACATCGCCTTTGATATTGTCTACCGTAGTGGTAGACGAAACGTCAGGCATAAAATCCTGCAGACTACAGCCAGAAAAAAACCAAAGTATAACTTTGTTTTTATTTTACCCTCAAAGTCGATATTTTAGATGGAAATAAACCAATATCTGTATTGAATAACGAGAATCAGTTCATTGGATGTTCATTGATCGAAAGAGTAGATGTGTTTCTATACGAAAATAACATATATTCTAGCACTGCAGCTTCAGTGATAAAAATAAAAAGTGCATGTATATTGTATAAAGATAAAAGAAACATTTATTTCAAAATCGGATTACATAAAAATCATTGACTTCATACATTCTGAATCCTAACCAAAAGTTATATCAATGTTCAATGAAGTTTTCGAGACATCCCTTGATCTATACTGAATTTGAATTCTACGAAACAACAATGGGAGACTTCGATCAGAATATAACACTATCTCATATTATCAAGCGAGGAAATGTCTCGAGAAATCCTTACGCCTCCCTAACATTTCCTATTTTTGAATACTTACAGCCAAGCAGTCGTTGCCAGTATAAAGTCAATGAATGCGCCCTAACCTAACCTAATTCTATACCTCCAAGTGAACAAACCATCAAGCTACCCCTCGCGCGCCTAGTAGGGGTTGAACTTGTTCCTTTCGCTCTTCGCTTTGGAACCCTCGGAAGTGACCCCGCTGCCCCCGGGCGAGCGGAGGCGGGGTGTGTAACTCTTGTGGGGACGGTGGACTCCGGTGGTCTGGATTGAGGGAGGGCCTTGGCCACCGAGTAGTTCGGTGAGGCCCCCCAGCGCACTGAGGCTGGTCAGAGCGTTGAGGGCGCCTGGCTTTGCCAGTAGTTGGGCAATAGGGATGGCGCTAGCCAAGGGAGAGGCGGCGGCGGTTGAGGTGGTGGTGGAGGACTGGCCCGAGGAGCCGCCAGCATTAGGGGAGTTTTGGGCCTCAAGGTTAGCTTTCTGCAGCTCAACACTGGGAAAATACACAGAAAAAACGGGATTGTAATGATGCGATGTGTCGGATTTCGGGTGGATTCAATTCGGGTGCAAGTAGCTTTCATTAACGACATTAAAAATCTCATTGCGATACATTTCCAGTAATGATTCTATTTCAAATAATGGTTTAAAAAATATTTCAACACTGTTGACAGTTTATAATTTGTTTGGAATATTCCTCATTGGCAATACTTTTCATAGTGAGAATCTTTATCTATTTCTTCCTTTGAATCTTTGAGATACAGTGTAGTTCTACCCTTTATTGAAATTCCCTTGATATGGTATCGTCGTGCCCAAGAACTGAATACCTAAATCAAAAGTGTCAGGAGTCGTTCCTAATTATTTCGCTGACCCACTATACATTTGAAAAAAAAAACTGTTCTCGCAACGGGGAACCAACCTACATCAAGCCGCATGGCTCGAAATCTAGAAGACTGCCACCTCCAACTGGAATCGAATTTAGAAAAAAATCTCACTGCGGTACATTTTCAGCAGTAGAATTGTTCTGGTTCTACGAAATTCAGGTTCTAGGACGTCAGGATCATGCGCAGTTGATATGGAGCGTTCTGGTTTCGACTGCGAAATGATCCTAAACGGTATTGCACCGTCTTGAATCGTTCTTGTTCTCGTGGCCGAACTGTTGATAACTGTTCTCGTGGCCGAACTGTTGATAACTGTTCTCATTGCTCATGAGCATTCATGTGGAAAATGGTTTGGGCTATTTTCTAGGATGCTTTTTTATTTATTTGATTTAAATAATTGATGATTGAGGTTAGATAACATTTGAACTGACTACAAGGATACGCTACATAACAAAATGGACATGATCAACAGCATTTTCTCGTCTTCATCATCATCATCCCTATCTTCTGACGATGATGGACCAATTCTTCAAATTCCAAGCGCTGAGGAACTTTTGAGACAGTGCTCATAAAATGAACAATTTAGTGAAACTACAAAGGCCTTGTTTAATGATGACGAATTCAGCATTTTAGGTATTTAATAATATTGTTCAAAAAAAATGTTATGCTCATACGTTTGTTAAAGTTTGTTTTATTTGTGTGAGTGTGGTTGTTACCTGACAGTTGCAAAAATGATGAACAAAATACGTTTTAACATACAAGTGAACACCCAAGAAACTTTTTAATGGCCGCCAACCCATATAATCAATTCAATTTCAAAGTTGCTGGCCTACTTGCCAAACTGAAACTCCTCATATATACGACAGGTGGCACAGTGGTCTCAAAATGCGTTCTGTGTCTCGAGACTATCTCGGACTGTTTGGGACTTTTTGTTTGTACTCATCATGTCTTGCGCAGTTTCCAAACAGTTCCGGTTGTTAGAACCAGAACAAACCTAGTATTTCTATTTCATACAATTGCTTTCGGAGAGAAATATTTCAACGCCATTACTGGCAATATATTTTATTATAACAATCTGTATCTATTCCCTACATCCATTGTTTCAGACACAGTGTGTCTGTCCCTTTTATTGTTTAACCAAACAGTAGACAGTGTGTTCTGAATGATCTAGGCGACTGTTCAGTACAATAGAAAACTAGCCGAAATCGAAATAATTTAATAATAATAATAAACAAATAATAATACAAATAAACACCAACACAGAACATCGCGAAAGCAGAGCTTGTATGCGATGAAACTGCCAAAATTTTCGATTGCAAAACTAATAATGGAACCTTCAGTTTTCAAGGTAAGTAAATGATTAATATAAATGGTGAACAGAGTAGGCCCTAGAACCGTACCTTGCGGCACACCATATGTTATTAAAATTTCTTCACTTAATTTATCATTTATTTTGACTTTTTGCTTTCTTCCAGCTAAATAGCTTACCATCAAATTATAAACACTGCCCCTGAAACCTAAATCCTGTAAAGTTTCCAACATCCTATTATGAGACACTGTGTCAAATGCCTTTGCAACATCCAAGAAAATGCATAACGATTTTTTGTTTGTATCTAGTGATTTATAAATTTTGCTTGTCAGAAAAGAGATTGCATCTTGTGTTGATTGATTTAATTTCTTGTGTAAAGCTGTTTGTGACATTTTCAAATCGATAAAAAAACACCAAACCCATAAACGTGTAAATCAGCAGGGTACTATAGAAGGAATTTGGTTTGGTGCATTGTTGTTGAAAATTGGTGTTGGAAATGGGTTTCGGTTATTGCATGGGGATTTTCTTCAGCCCACACATGATTGTTATGGAAATTTTGAATGGCATTCCGAGAAAAATTTGCTTCGTCTGTGAACAAAATTTGTGTCTCAAACTGCGGATTTAGTGCAATACTTTGTAGATACCACTGACTGAAGTTCACACGCTGTGGAAAATCTCTGGGGAGTAATGCCTGCACTCTTGAAATATGGTATGGGTATAACAAAAAATCAACCAAAATACGCCAAACAATTTGATGACAAATATCCAGAGTTCTAGCGATCTTCCTCGTACTCGTCTCAGGATGTTCCTCAATTTCTTGCAGCACCGCTTCCTCAATTTCAGGAGTTGTTACTACACGAGGTCTACCTTCCGGAGTCCCTTTCTTGAAACTACCAGTTTCCCCAAGTCGACGATGAATATTTGAAAAGGTTCGGCTATCTGGTAAGGCACGATTAGGATATCTTTCCTGATAAATGCGCCTGGCTTCTGTTGCATTACCATCGGCAAGGCCATATACGTAATGCATTTGCGCCATTTCCGCATTCGTATAATTTACCATATTTACTGATATTCAGAAAAACAGCGGACTACCAAAATAACTTCAATAACACTTCAAAATCGATCAAAACGAGTTGTGACAGTTTTTAACACCAACACCTTACTTTAAACCAACTTCAATATTAGCTACTGACGTTTGTACATACAGAGAATTCGTTTTTTATTGCTATGGTGGGTACGCTGTTTTTTCAGCTTTTAATCTTTAAAAGAAATCACATATCGACAAACTCCATATTTCCAAGAGGTGCAGTAAATAAATTCTGCTACACGTCATTTATTCCAGGATAACTAAATTTATGTTTTCAAAAATTATTAAGCGGTGCTGCGTTATGACGTAATTTTAATTGAAAACAGTGAATCTGACAACAAACAAATACCTTTTAGATCCTCAATTATTTTGCAACAAATCTGATCTCTTAGTTTGCTTTCAGTCGATGCACGATACCGCATCAGATTTTTAAGGAATTTATCCTTAAGTAGAGCGATTTTTAATTTTTTGAGCGAAAACCATGCGTCGGACAAAGAAAACCCACCAAACCAAATGTGCTCAAAAATGTATGGAGATTTCAAAAATAATTTTTATTTCAAGATAAAGCAGTGGCGTAGTATTTTTTTCGCAAAAAATATACATTTCAAAACTCGTACGTACGCCACTGGCAGAGAAAATTAAGAAAATTGTACATCAGAAAATTTATCTCAGTTATTATTAAAAAACTGATTATTTTTGAAAACTTTGCCACCCTGTATCTCAAAAGTTAAGGCGTTTAGGACATACGTCCATAGGAAGTTTTTTTCTTAAAATGGGTCTAAGAATTACCTCCTTAAATATTAGCATGTGTTTAAGGAACACCCTGTATAATTTGTGAATCTATATAAAAAAAACAGAACTGTCAGTTAGCTGAGAAATATCTTTTGATTTGTATAATCTGGCAGTTGAATATATCTAGGACATGACTAACAGAATTAGAGGTACTCGGAGTGTTGAGATAAAATGTGACACTATTCCTAGATGACCGTCTAGGAACCCAAAAATTCAACATATGTAACAGTTGAGAGCAGGTGATGATATTGTTTATGACCTTGAATAAAAAAAAGAAATTAATATTTACGCCTTACATCAAGACTACAAAAATTGTGAGTTACAAGCAAGTCATGATACGGTATTCCTACAGTAGGATATGTGCTTTCAAGTTTAAAAGACATATATTTTAGGAAGCGCCTCTGTAGGGCTTCTAGTTGATTTATATGAACCTGATAGTAGGGACTACACACGACAGATGCATATTCCAGCCTAGATCAAACAGAAGTGAAATAAAGTAATTTCAATGTTGAAGCTTTTTCAAAGTCTTTTGTATTTTTAACTAAGAATCCATAGATGCAATAAGCTGCTGTTAGAGTAGTGTCAATATGTTTATTGAAAGAGAGGGATGAATCAAAAGTAACACCTAGATCGGTGAGTGTGTCAGGACGCTCTAGAACTTGATTGTTTATGACGTAGTTGTGTAAATTCAAGTTGTTTTCAGTAAGTAAAACATTCCATTACATTTGGATATGTTGAGAGATAGATTATTTTTCCGACACCATGTAGCAACGCGATTTAAATTCAGGGCGAGACGTTCGCAATCATTAGAACATGTTATATTGTGTTAGAGTTTCAAGTCATTTGCGTATAAAAGGACATTGACAATAATCTCAGCTCCGATATCATTAATGAACATACTGAACAGTAGGGGTCCTAGATTTGATCCTTGTGGTACACCAGATGTGGTTATATATTCGATAGACTTGAGGCCATTGGCCGTTCTTCCACTCAAGCACGTTTGAAAAAAAGAAACATTACAATAAATAAATGGCAATTTCAATTTCAATATTAAAATGAAATACAAATGCTTATGTTTAGATTACTGTTGACTGAGCAATTAAGTTTTAAGTTTACTTTTGAATAGCGGTAGAGATGAAATTTTCAAAGGTTCACTGAATGAATTATACATTGTTAGAGCATGATACGTGAAGGATCCTGTATAGATAGTGCTGTTATGATTCAGAGTGTCAAAATTATTATTAAATCTACGGTTTCTTTAATGTATCTGATGTCTGGGAAGGAGTTTCTTTACCAAATAAGTGGGTTGTTGTTTTTTTTATCAATTTGTGAATGAAACAGGTGAAATGCAATTCTTTTCTTTTTTGCATTTCAATTTATTGATTGAAGGGGTCATATGATATCTGTAATTCAAGCTGAAGTTATACAATTGATGAAAGATATACAATTATACCAGTATCATTTAACAGTGAAAATACATTTTACTTTTTTTTTTCTCAATTTTATTATTGTTAAAATAATAAACCTCAATTTCATTGTGGATATTCAATAGTAATCATCACAAGACACCACCATGAAAGTACAATTGAGTGATTTCATTGATTTTTAATGTGACATATATTTTGTTTACTATGCTTCTTACTTTTTGAAAAACAGTTGTTTGGAATTCTGATCTTATCAACATATTTTTCATTCATATTAACCTTACAAATTAGTCTCAATTCAATTTCAAGAAATGGATACATAAAATGTCTACTCAAATCAAAGTTTCCACGTTTTCTTTCGTAACAAATACAACTTTGAAAAATACCCTGCCCACTTTTTCATTGCCAAAACTAGAATCAAGTAAGTATCAAGTATGTAATCAAGGTTTCGCTCATAATTTCGAAAAATCTAAAATTTCATATTTTTATTCTTCTCAACACCCTTTACAATCATTTTCAGAAGGGCCTTTGAAAGTATACGACTGAAATGAGATGATTGATGCGTTGAAATATTTTTTTACCACATCAACTGATCAGTAATGAAAGCTACAAGGATATACTGCTAACTTGAGTAACAGGGCTGCTTCTCTGGAGAGGGGCGCTGTTAGGGAAAAATAATAAAAAAAAATCTCGAAAATCTACAAATTCGCACCCACCGTACAAATTTGCACATTTAGAAGAACTGAGACAACAAGGATTGAGTATTCATATACAGGAAAATGGTTCTATTGATGTGTTATTGGGATGCGTTGAGGAACATAGTCGAATCGGTAAAGGATAGACAGAGTAGGTAATAAAATATGTTCTCACTAAATTCCAAGAACACATCAAACGATCCGGTCTCATGCAGGCGAGCTGCTCCTGTCGACTGCTCCAGTAGAATATTCTTCGCCTTTTCCAGACGACCATATAGATATCAACTACATCCGCCTAACTATCTAATTACCAAGTTTATGAAAGACACGTAAGAAGCGAAACCCAGAAGACTAACCGATGGCAATATTTAGACACTGTTTTAATTTGCAAGCTGTTTGTAAACCAGACGAATAAAAAATATTTCCCTGATCTACGTCTGAAGCAAGATATTCTACTTTCTACACAGTGAGTTTATCACCTGATTACAACTACGTACTATGAAGTATGCATAATAAAAAAATCTACTAGCGGCTTATACAAATTGTTATAATTCATTAAATTTTTCAATTTAACAAAAAAATTATATAACAATTATAACACAGGCCAACGATGAAAAAAGTTTTTTACTTGAAACACCTTATTATTCTGTTTTTAGGGTGCTAAATCCAACACTTATTAAGCCGTATCACCTACCATTTTTCCACATTTCCACATCGATATATTAATTTTTTTGATTTATTACAGAATTTAACAGCTGTTATATACTACAAATAAAATTGTAAAATAATTGGTGCTGGATGTAGAAGAGTTGGCAGCACTGCTGAAACACATTTACTGTCCAGAAAAAGAGGAATTATATTGTTCTGTTCACAGCTGATGTTTTGTTTACTGTCAACCTAACCTCACATTCTGGTTTCCAGTACATGTGCTTATTAAAATGTCTAATCGCGGTTGTAAAAACACTGCTGACAGTTTTTGTTATATTTGTGGTGAGTTTGTTATGAAACAACATCAAAGAAACATTACAGACTTTGTGAAAAACTTTATTTCTCATATTTTGGAATTGAACTTGGTGATCAGGATAAGGTATGTTTTCTGATGTACTGTCAGTTATAGATGAGCAAGATGATCAAGAGTTCCAATGTTCTACAGCAAATATAGAGCCTAAACTGTTTACTCAGATTGAGCTTAACGACTTAGTTAGGAATCTTGGGTTAACAAAAGAAAAAGCTGAATTGCTTGGTTCTAGACTAAAAGAAAATCACTTGTTAGCAGTTGGAATTGGCATATATGTGTATAGGAAGAGAGAGGAGCATTTTTTTAAAACATAAGGTGATTTAGTGTACTGCTCAGACATTCCAGGTCTGATCAAAGAGTTTGGTGTTGAATACAAGGCTGGATGCTGTTTATTGATTCTTCCAAAACTAGTTTAAAAGCTGTTTCATTACACAATAGTAACACTTATGCATCTATACCTGTTGGCCATTCTGTACATATGAAAGAGACCTATGAAAACCTAGAAATAGTGTTGAATAAAATTGGCAAGTCGGCTCATGGTTGGATGATATGTGGTGACTTGGTCAGCAAGGCGATTTTACCAAATTTCCATGTTTTTTGTGTGAATGGGACATTAGAGCAAGGGATCAACATTGGTGCAGAAAGAACTGGCCTGTGAGGAAGTCTTTAAAACCCGGCAAGAAGAACATTCTCCGCAAAAACCTTGTAGATCTTAGTAACATTCTCTCTTACCACCTCTACATATAAAGTTAGGCCTCATGAAACAGTTTGTACAGGCATTGCCTGAAGATGGACCTTGTTTCAAGTATCTCTGTCAGAAATTTTCAAACCTTTCAGAGGCTAAACTTAAAGAAGGCGTCTTTGTAGGACCCGACATTCGAAAATTATGTTCAACGTAAACTTTGAAACCACAATGACCATACATGAGAAAGAAACATGGGTATCATTCAAGCAAATTGTTACAAAAAATTCTTTGGAAATGCAAAAGACCCAGAATATCGTACCATTGTAGTTAACATGTTAAAGAATTTTAAGAAACTAGGATGTTTGGTTAGCCTGAAAGTCCACTTCTTGAACAGTCATCTTGATTACTTCCCGGAAAATTTGGGAGATGTTAGTGAGGAGCAGGGTGAACATGTTCATCAAGATATTAAATTATTGGAAAAAAGTTACCAGGGCCGCTGGAACTGTTGGTCACTTCACCGTGAAGCTCAACAACTCATCGCAGGAAAAGCTACACAAGAAACTTCAAAGAAAAAAGAGCAAGGAAGTATAAACCAATTCCATCTGACTAGTGAAACCTACATTTCAACACTGTATCATTATTTCAAGTAACCTACTGTAAATAAAAACCATGATAGAGATTTAACATAGTGTTTCAATAATTTTATATACCGGTACCATATACCGTACAGATTTTAAATTATATAAAAAAAGTCAATTTCTCAAAAACTATGGGTGATACAAAAAAAACTTGATACCAGATTTGGATTCAGCACACAAAAATCTATAAAACACCTATTAAAGTGAACAAGGTTTTCAGAAACATTTTTTTGTTGGCCTGTGTAATTGATAATGTCTACTGCAGTAAAGTATTTTTTACTAGTTATTCATTTTGGGTGTTTCAATATTGAAACTAATTCTGTACTATTTATTCAAAGCGTCAGTATATCCAAAATTCTGCTTTTTGATGGTTTTTTCAGTTTACCTTTTTGAATAATAAGAGTACACTTCCTCTCTCAACAAATTCAAACACTTTGAAAAAGAAAACATTCCATCTGATTTACAAGTCTCACAAATTAAAATAAAACTGAAATTTGCCTCACGAAGAAAATAGAATCTGTGTTTTTTTAATCGAAAGATTTGATCAAAGATTTTTGGTTTGAATGTTCCGTGATTTTGCATCTTACTTTCTCATTTCCTGCTGGTATGTATAAAAAAGTGCATATTCTTCCTCTTTTCTTTCATCCAAACATTCACTCTCAATTCATCAGTAAATGAAGCAGTTTGAAGGAAGGGAGAATTTTTAGGTTGAGATTCCAGAACTATGTGGTATAAAAGATATAAATATATCAAAGCAGTGACTGAAATACGTTTGCTTCAAGATAAAAAAGAGCAAATCATTAAGATAAACAAAAAGTCCGGTACCCCTCCACAAGTATATCGATTATACCATTTCAAAAAAAAAAAAAAACAGTTAAAAAACTCACCTCATGTTGATCAGATACTGCGCCAAGGCCACTGCATCTGGATTGCCAGATATGGTGATGGTACGATCAGAGGATCCGCTCTCGCGGTCATCGGTGTTGGATATGCGAATCATCGCTCCAGATATTTGCCGAATTTCAGCGATTTTCGTACCACCTTTACCGATAATACAGCCGATCAACTCATTGGGAACAGTCATTTCGTGAGTCTGTTGGTTGGAGTTTTGCTGGGTCCTCGAATTTGTTGATGTTCTCAGTTGAGAGCCTGCCAATGCAGCTAGTGCTGAAAAAAAAAAAAAGAAAATTTTGAATGTGGGGTCATTTTTAGGGCTCGTGCTAGGTTTTGTAAACAATTTTTTGGATCCGAGACCCAAAGTGATAAACTGTGGTCAACTGTATCAAATGCCCGGGATAGATCAAAGAATAAACCAATTGGAAATTTCTTATCATTGAGGTTTTCGTAGATGTTGTCACACATTTCGAATATGGCAGATGATGTTGATTTTTGCTGTCTAAAACAATGTTGACATTCTGGTACGAGTTTATAGTGTTCAACAAATATACGAAGTCGCAAATAATAGGCATAGTCGATAACTTCGGCAATTTGCGATTGCAAACAGATATTTCTATAGTTGGTTACGTCTTTTTTGGAGCCCTTGTTTTTATATATGGGTATAGATTTTGATGTTTCCAGTGATTCTGGATATATGCAGATTTATTTACAATAAATGATAGAGGTTGACAAATTATGTCATTGAGACTTTTAAGAGATTTACCGTGTATATCATCTATTCCTGAGGCTGTAGTTAGGAGATAATTTCAATTCATTTGTATTAGGTTGATTTGTTTTTTTGTCAATGAAAAATGTATATTTATTTTATGTTATGATAGAAGAAGAAAAAACGCATTTTTCAATGATTCCAGAATGGTTTCAACATGAGGATATACATAACAAATATATTACAAAACAGAAAAAAGAAAATAAGAAAATCAGGGATAAGATTTTATATAGTCCATGAGTTTTTTTTTAATTGGAAAACATTTATTGAATCTTTCAACGAAAGTGGGAGTTTGTTATACTCTAACTTTTGTAAAGCCGATACCTTATTTTGGTCAAATGAGTATAAAATACTAGCACAATAATCGAAATGGGGTTGGATTATACACTTATATAATGTAATTTTTGAGTACATCGAAAGCTGAGATGAAATTCTTGAGAAAAAATATATTTTTTTAGTAATTTTTTTGTATATATAATCAAAATGAGCATGAAGGGATAAACGATTATCCACCATGAAACCTAAGTATTTGAATTCCCTTACGAACTCTATTACATCAACTACAATTTGTAATCTTATGTTGTGTTTGTTGATGAGTGATAGCTTATAACCAGTTGATAAGATCATATATTTTGTTTTGGAGGTATTGAGTTTTAGTTTATTGCGATTCATGTACTTGAAAACATTTCTTTGTTCATTATTCATTTGATCAGCTAGTGTTTCTATATTATTTCCTGAAATTGATAACAAAGTGTCGTCTACAAAAAGGTTAATGAAATCGCAACCATGGATGGTATCTATATCATTCAGGTAGATTTAAAAAGATATAGGTCCCAAAACACTACCCTGAGGTACCCCGAAAACGACATCGCGAGATGATGACACTGAATCCTTTATTTTGGTTACCTGTTTGCGTTGTGATAAATAATCAGTCAGCTATAACAAAACAGTTTCCCTGATACCAATACTTTGCAGTTTATTAAGTAATATGTGGCGATCAATTGTCTCCAAAAGCTCTTTTAAGATCTAAAAATACGGCTATAATATAATGTCCCTTATCCGTTGATTATTTCCATTTTGACTTCTAATGCAGACTCACATGAATGGTGTTTTCTGAAACCTGACTGATATTTTAGTAATATATCATTATTTTCTAGATATTCAATGAGTTCATTATAAACTGAGAGTTCTAATATATTTTCAATACAAGGCAAAGTGTTGATTGGTCTAAATTCCTAGGATTTAGTTGTGTTAGGGACTATCTGATATGACACAAGGACACTGGTCTTGAGCTCCTTCTCAATAAATAAATCATATGAATAAAATCATATGTATCCCGATTTTTTTGACACCAAAACATTAATCTTATGACAAGTGGTTTTTCGAATTGTATGTGAAACCCTTCTTGTTTACAACCATAGTTCTTTGAACTCACTATGATACATGAATGAAAGAAAGATTTGCGATTTTAATGATGCTGTGATATGGCAATAGTACAGAAAAATATACGTGAAATGTCCAATAGTGATTTGTTGGTAAGCAGAATTGAACAGAAATTTCGTGAGATTGGATACATTGAAGCCATTTCCAAATTGGGCGAGGCTTAAATAAAAAATATTTCATTCGTCTCTGGTTTGGGCGAATTATCTTTTGAGTTTTCAATGCACCTTGCTAGGAATCACACGTTAAAAGGTAAGACCTCGTTAGTCCTTAACTCGCTCAAGTTTCGACTTCTGAGCAGTTGTAGTTCGTAGGAGTACGACAGCTGGTTAATAGAAAACAGATTCTACTCTTCCATCCACGGGTGACACATCACAAGGCAAGAGCATTCTAACGCCCTCCAACTGAAGTGTGGATCATTGAATATTCTCTGAAGGGATATGTGGATAACAAAAGAATTTAGTTGATGAGAATTTTATCGAGTGGTCTGAAATGAATATTTTCCCAGTCATCGAAAAATAAGAGAAAAAAGGAAAAATAAACTGTGTCACATGAAATTACTGCTACTTACCAGCTGGATTCAACCCACCTGCCCCCGTTGGTGCAAGCCCTCCCAAACCTAAAGCAGCCAGACCAGCGAGAGGATTTTTACCTAAGTTCGCTACCTGGAACAAAAGAAATCAACATGCAAATTCAGTGAAATGAGAAAACTGAACGTCACCTTCGATGTAACTGCTCAATTACTACACTACCTTTCACCTTGTAATCATTATTTGTATGTTTCAGACAGTAAGATATATCAAAGTCGAATGTTCCTGCGTTTCAATTATTTGATACTGAATATTTCATTTATTTTAACTAAGAATGTAATGGATACGATCCTACACCATACATCTTGAGAACTCCTTCCGCGGACTGAAGATTATATTTCAAGCTGTAAAATAATCTGAAGTCGAAAATCTAAAAAGATACACAGATTACTATTGAATTGTTAATCAATTGGTGACCCTCATTTCCATGCACTGTGCAGAATTGTGAAACTACGCAAGATATTCAACATATTCCATACTGTACTTTTACATCGAATGCATAGCCGTTGTTAGCAAAAAGCAGTATAGTTTCATATTACCAAAACAATGAAATGAAAATAAAACTGTGATGAAATAGTCAAATATACTCGAAATTACCAGATCAAGATTTTCATTCATAAGCCACATTAACAAGTAGAAAAAATCGGCCCTGTATATTGGTTGTGTAACATCACGAACTACTGCCTATTACCAAAAAGAATTGTTCAAATCGTGAAAGTTCAATTATGTTCTAGTTTTGTTTATGATTTTCCCAAATACCTATCATATTTTACTCAACAAATTATTTTCCTGAAAAAACTGTCATTGGCTATGCTTTCCACAAATATTTTCTCCCTAAAACTTCACGCCACAAAAAAAAAGAAAATTTCAAACACTGGTCACAATTTCAACATCTTCCAATTATCTTTCAAACAATTACTTGAATAACAAGCAAATTCCCTAAAGCTGTCACTCACTCGTTTAGATAAAATGTATCCCAGAGTTTTAAAGTAGGAAAATATGAATTCAATAAAATTATAAGTTTCGTGCAGGCGCAAATTAGAATTAATTCCATGTGGAAGATAGATTGAGTCCATATCTTACAGATTTGGCTGCAATATGTTTTCTCTCACAGAATTTACTTATATATTTGGTCCATGTGTCCACTACAAATTCATCAGCGAAGATGCCGATCCCGTGGGTATATCTGGATAAAAGATAGCCAATATTACGTCTGGCGTTTATCGATTACGAATAGGGGTAGATAACCACTCGATTTGGACAAACGTAAGGAGTCGACCAAGCATTTATGCCACGCGGGTAAAGATACCATACGCGTAGACTCCCCTCGGAGCCTGCGATGGGGCAGCCTTCGATAGACGCAGCGACAAATTATATTACTGCAAATTTTGTGAGAATCACTAATTTGAAAAGTAAAATACACTCCATGTTACTCTCTCGTGATGCAACATGATATAGATGAAAGGATTTTTCAAATTGCTCAAGTAATTTTTGAGTTTATAATAATAAAAGATTAAAAATGTGTGAATATACACATAAGTTGTCTGTTACAAAGTTTATTGCCTGCAGTCGACATCAACAAGAAATAAATTCACCACTTTGTATAACTTGTATTGCTTTCATTCAAAAATTGTTTCTTTTGTCAACGGGAAAACAATTTTGGTACCTGGTACAGGCGCTATAAAAAAACAATCACCAGAATGATTTTGATATGTAAATTGGGACATGTGATCCCATAAAGTTCCAATGGATATCGCATTGAGCTGACAACACAATCATGAAAACACAAATAAATCAACATAGGCCGATTTTTCTACCCTTTAAAATACATGCAGAAACATGATTGAAATGGGTTACTGTGAAATGTAGTGTAATATTTAGGCAGTACAGAAAGATTGAAATCACGCACAATAAAACATCCATAATTAAAACATCTACCTATTTCAAAGCAAGACTTCTACAAAATGGCAAGACAGTTCTCATTTATATGTGACTCATGCGAATTCATACTTGGAATATCTGTAGGTAACAAATGTTATTTATCTGGGAAATGTTATTTATTAAACTAAAATTCTATAAGAAAATATAACTTCCTAATTGATGAAACAATAAAATTATTTTGCTTGTTTTATAATTTTTCTTGTCGCGAAAGTGTGCACCATGTATCTTCTAACAGAAATCTGGCTGCATGTCCTTAATTGTACACAAACATGGTCAGGTAATCTAATTAGGAGAAACCAAGCCACTTATGATAATATAAAACCAGAGACAAACTCCATTATATCTAAATAATAAATTGAGAAAAATCTTTCTATTCTTAGTGTTGATACATCTTGATGCCTTTTTTATAATATTAAGAACATTATCATAAATTTATCCAAAGCAATAACATCAAAGAGCCCAAATGAGACAAATACAAAGTTACAATAAGTAAAATTGAAATGAATATTAGCAAAACAAACAACCACTACATGAAACATACAACTAGAAACAGGACAAAGAAGTGGATTACCTAAACAGACTACAAGAAATCTGCAGGGGTGTATCTGGGGCTAAGGCAGGAGCAACAGAGGTAAAAAAAAGTGTTGACAATTGCCCTAGTAAGTCTGCGAAGATGGAAAAAACTTTCAAGTGGAAATTTCATGCTTCAGAACTTTCGTAATTCATAAATAAGAACCACTTTCCCAAGCTCTGTACTCATAATCCAGCAACAATAACCCAAAAGTCACAAGCGAACTAAACTTCCAGTTCGACTTATTTAGGTTATTTCATCATAAGTTCACATCTTCGTCGAATATTCTTAATGCAATCAAATTTCAAATATTCGATGAAAATAAGTGAATTACTAAATTTATTGCAACCACTATGAAACTACCTTTTGATATGAATTTGTACTATATTTACTTGGCAGTTAAAGTGTGTTATGTCTTGTGGTTGAAAATTGATTCGTTTTTGAAAATGGAGCAAATCTCCAAATTGAAGTCAAAAATGCCCATTTCCCTGGAATGTTCTTTACATCTATCTTTGCATTTTGAATTCGCCAATACAAGTATAGCTCGTTTTTGCCTTAGGAGGCTTGATCCCAGTGTACTATAAAATACCTCAGAAGGATATGAACTGTTCCAATGATTTAATTACATTGCCTCTCAGAAATTGTTAGAACCTATATTGTTCTAGCCAGTTGAGGTTACAATCAATGACTAAGGATATTCAAAGAATTTGTTCTTTCAGAGAGTTTTGACCTACTGAATGAAGTAGCATACAATTTTGTCTATTGCACCCATAAGTGTACAATTGTTGAACGAGAAAAGCATAGTTTTTATGTGTTCATATTAGTTACTTGTTTTAGAATAGAAATCTATGTATACTGAACAACAAACAGAATGGTTTCCACTTACATGATGTACAGTTTTTTCAAAAGTTCCTTACATATAGTATTCATTGAGTATCATTGATACAATCAAAATCAATGTGACAAGAGAAACTGAACACACCAGTAAGAATGATCGCGAGATCTTTCATCTCATTGTTTCTCTGTAAATTCGTATGATTAATGAAATAGTCCTTGATAGTAGGTGACTTCTTTCGTGTGAAACTCATTATTTTGCATTTAGCTTCGTTGAGATTCGCTTTCGATTCTTCTAAACAGCTTGAGATCATCGGCATATTAAGAAAACCAAGAGAGACACCAATCAAAGCAATGCTGAAGGAATTGCAATGGATGGCTGTGACAGATCTCGTATATTACTATACAATGATAATGATATATAAAATGAATAATCATCTATCACCGACATACCTGAGTTTAGGCATATTGAATACAATGAGAATCATCATCACTATAGTACAAGAACGCATAATAACATATATGTAGGAGTTAAAAATAGAAAGTGTACTGAGAAATCCATTTACCATGCAGGAATGTTAGCTTTTAATAGTTTGAACAAAAATATTAAAGAATGTAGCACTCTTGCATTATTCAAAAGAAAGTTGAAGAGTCATCTATTGGGTGAATGAACAAGCCTTTATATAATATAAATTTTGACTGTATAAACTTTTTTTTTGTATTCTATATTTGTATTTTGTTTGTGTTTTATATTGACTAACAACTGTGATATTTCAAGTAGATGTTGTATATTTATTGTAGTACTCATACTTTGAAATTTTATTCCTGAGTTTAGTTGACTAACACATTGTGGTGTCGTATTTGATTATATATGTATTGTATTAGCAGTTTCATTGCTAAATAAAGGATTTATATATAGGAGAAATTGAGAACGGCCGATATACCGAGAAATGTCATTAACAAGTAACACGAGAAGGAGAGGTCCCAAAATCGAGCCCCGCGGAACTCCAGAAGTAGCGGTGAATTTGAAGGAAGATATGTTGCTAAACTGTACGAACTGTATTCTGTTGGATAGGTAGCAGTGAAAGAAATCAAGTGTATTGTTTGTGAAACCGAATGCTTTTAATTTCAGGATCAAAACCTCGTGGTTAACTCTGTCGAATGCCTTGGCCAGGTCAGTGTATATAACGTCTATTTGATAGCCATTTTTTATTCCATCCGTAACGAAGTTACTAAATGCGCACAAATTGGTAATGGTAGATTTATTACGAATAAAGCCATGCTGGTAAGACTGTTATAGGTCTGTAGTTTCTGACATTGTTCTTATTGCCGCTTTTGTGTATGGGGGTAACTTGCCAATTTTGAGAAAGCTTGGAAAACAATTTTCTTTCAGAGAAAGATTGTCTAGGTCATACTCAGGAACTAGTGTGGGGTTTACCGGCACACCGCTGTTCGTGAAAGTTGATTTGAAGAAAGTAGCAAAACCGTCTGCAATATCCTTATAATTGAATAATTTATCATTATTATAAGTGAATCTGTTAGCAACAGCACAGTTTCTTCGACGTTCCTTGATATAGGCCCAGAATTTTTTGGGATCGCTTTGTAAGTCTCCCTATATTTCTTTTATATAGGATTCATAACACAAATTATGCGAACGTTTCACATCCATTCTGAGTTCGTTGTATTTTTCTTTATAATAATATTTGTTTGACTTTTTATTTTCATGGAAATCGATTCTGGATGAAAGTATTTTTTTTCCAAACATTTCTCAAAAAAGGCCTTCAGGCAATCATAGAAAATTTACTGTGAACATTATTTCGAGAGCTAGATGGTAGTTATCCAACCGCACTAAGGGCGTTTCACATTCGCTCACAGTCGCTTCCATGATATTTGTTAATATTAGGTCTAAAGTATTTCGAGCCATTTATGGAATATATATCATACTCAAACATGATGGAATGGATTAACCTCGCTTTTGATGATCCGTTTCTCAAGTTATATTTCGAATTAGTTATTTCAGAGACATTGAAGTCACCCACTAACAACAACTTTTCGGTGGCGTTGAGCTCATTACAATTTTCCAGGGATACAGAAAACTGTTCATATACCGTTGAATTCGCTCCCGATGTTATGTACACACAACAGATCGTGACGTCGAGATCTGTTATAGAGATTTTGACAGACAACCACTGAAAATCGGTATTCATAGTCATAGCGAATAAGTACTGGTTTGAATTTGGCTTTAATACAGCATAAGACACCTCCACCGCGGTTCACACTGGAGATACTGTAGTTTTTGTAATTTCGAAATACCAGGTAACGTGAATCACTCGGTTTGTTATCAAAAAAACTATCATACAGCCATGTTTCTCGTATACATATCACATCCCAGTTATTAAAAAGTATGCTGTGAAATATTTCAATATTTGATTATTTTGTTAAATTTGTATCTTAAGTTAATTCAGTTAATCCCTATTTTCTTGGAATAACAAACCGGCGCCCAACGTGGGGCACCGAAATTGTAAGACATGTGTGTCATCAGCATATGATATTATTGTACGGCAGTTATTGTTTCTACCAATGGTGGAAAGTAGATCATTGTTGATCCAATGGGGCCCAAAATGGGCCCCTAAGGTAGACCACTAGTGAAGGTAGCCAAGTTTGAAACCTTGTTACCCCATCGGTCTTTTGAAAAGCAACCATATAAATATGAATTCCATTTCTTGATAATTCATGTACGAGAATTTGATGGTCAACATAGCTAAAAGCCTTACAACATAATCGCAAAGGTGTATTGAAATTTATACCCTTACCTACCCCTGTTACATAATTTTTTCTTTACTTCAAATTGTACGAAGGTATTTTATCTAAAATAAAATATTTCCGACCGACGAGTCTTCTCAACTTTCCTAGACTTACTAGAGCTGCCAACATCTCCGACGTGTACACCTAAAACGACATATCAAGGGGAGACGGGGGGCACCAATACGATCAACTTACATCTGAAGGCAACAGATGCGCGGGCGGTAGGGCGGCCTGCAAGTGTCCGTTCTTGAGTGGCTCGAACGACACGAATTGTGCCGGGGCGGCGGCTGCGGGGGCGGGAGCGGCCATCGCGGCCAACGGGTGATGACCGAGGGACAAGGGGTGGGGGGCAAAAAGGGGGGTCATTACTGAACTACTTACGTCTGAGTGGGCAGGAACGGCGTAGTTGCCTTGGATGGTATAGGCCTGTCCGCCGGCCAGGATCACGGGGCCACCTACTTGGGGTTTGGGGCGGTAGGGGATGGTTGCTCCTTTGGGAGGGGACTGAAAGCCAAACAAATCATATAGTTTCATGGTTAAGCTCTAAAAATAATAATGACTTTATTCTCCTCACTGACCCAATACATGTTAAGAAGTACAGTAAAATTTCGGTTGACCAACATAAAAGGAATTTTTAAGTTAACATTAACTCATTAATGGTGGTTAATGCTGGTTACACTTTGTGTTGGTTTTTTTATTTTAAAACATACAAATGTCTGCTCGTCGCGGTACTAGCCCTGGAAATAGTTATTTTCCGGCAGACATTTGGCAGATTCCACCGTGCGGGATCGTTGGGAGATGGACTGTTTGAAATTTCAATTAGAAATCTGTATTTTCTTAGTAAACTTGTACCTCCCCTCGACACAGTCATCAGACATATTTGATTTCTGTTATAAAAAGCAGTTTTCTCGTTTGTAACCGACATTTTAGAAATCAAATTTGTTTTAAGGTATTGAAACATCCTAATACTTGAAAATATGCCCCTGAAAACTTTGTGCGATATGAAATCAGAATGCTAGAATGACCAATACTCACTATGAAGTTGCTGGCAAATTTTATTCGTTATTGCCAAGTTTACGATTGAATAAAATATTGCCAGATGAAAGAAAAAAAATCACAAAATGGAGAATGTTCCTCCTGACGAAAATCGAGTAGTTTTCATGAAAGAACTCTATAACAACGCATTTTAAACTCATAATTTCAACCTTTTTCTTTAAAAAAATATTTAAATACTTAAAAAAGAGGAATGAAATAACGCATTCAACATTTAAAGGGATTCGTTTCTATTTCACCATTTGGCAATATCGGTTATAGCTAATAAAGGACAATGAATCTCAACATTTGAAACATCAATTTGAATACTTTTTGAAGTGAATTTGAAAAACTCATGAATTAAACTCAACTTTATTTTGTTCAAACTTGCATTTGCTGTAATAACCCAAATTGAGGAACATTCCTCATTGCTGTTACTTACAAATGTAAATATTTCCGATACAAATACTGATATAATAAATATACTTATTGAAATATTTGACAAAAAATTCGCCGACTTTCAAGAATCAGTAAGGTAATTCCCGACTTTGATTTTCATTTTCCCCGACTATTCTAGGCTTTCCAGACCGCTGGGTATCCTGACCCTCATTTATATCTAAAGTTACTTCTTATTTATAAGGAAATAAATATTTCAAAATAAATATCGAAATAATAATCTCTCCCAACTACCTACACATTAAGGTGTGGTAAACGTCTGTCGAAAAACAACTACTTCCCAGGCTAATGCCATGCCGGATATTGAATTATATCCGACAGACATTTATGCAAGATTCCTCACAGAGGCTAGTCTCGCAGATGCTTCTGGTTCATTCAGCAGTAGGACCATGCTGAAATTATTCAAGTCGATCACCTGCAGATCGCGGTTTCGAGGTATTACCTCTCGTCAGTACAGGAAAGATCCTACCCAGACAGAAAAGTGTCTGGGACTCGACTAATTTCAACACGGCTCCGCTATAAATGAGAAACCTTCTTCTGAGAGGAAGATTGTTAACTAGTAACAACTCCATCTCGTGAACAAAGCCCCAAGCGGAGAAGAAACATCCCATATATAAAAATTCTAAGAGAAATCAAAGGTGAAAACTGTCGAGGAGAGATACATACGTATAAGGAAATAAATATCGAAATAATAATCTCTCGCAACTACCTACAAAGTAGTGTGTGGTTTACTTTTTATTATCGAAAAAAAAAAAAAAAAAAAAAAACTCACCTCGAGCATAACGTTACATATGTGATAAATACACTGCGTGATCGCCTCCCCGGTACCGCTGATTGTGACAGCCCTCTCCGTCGAATTGGGCAGCATCTCCGAAGCGACCTGTATCGAGGCGCCTGTCACCTCTCTGATCTCCTTGATCTTGGAGCCGCCTTTGCCGATCAGCGAACCACACTGGCTTGCGGGAACCACGAGTCGCAGCGTGATCGGCGGCCGGGGCACGCCGCTGTTGGCGCTGTTTATTTCCTGGAACTGATAGGAACACCACTGATGATCGAATCATAGTGAAAAAATACAGGATTAGGAAGAGAGTATCACAAGTTAAATACATTCATAATGATTGCCAGACCCTTGTTATGAAACTATTGGCCATGATACACTGTGGATTTAATTGAAAAGGAAATATCATTTTTGGAGAGATTGCCGTTGCTTGTAGAACTTTCGGTCCCCATGCAATGGCTCTGTACGATAACATAGGTCTTATTATTGCAGTGTAGATTCAGGTGACCACACGGGGTGAAATACCCTACGTGCGTCCCATTGTCGTCCGACATTGCTCATAAGGTCATATATTATTTATATAATATCTAAAAGCCTAAATGTTCACTTTCATGTGTTGTATAACTAAATGACTAGGAAACCCATGCAAAATCTTGGATTCTTCAATGGGTACCCCTGAATCGTTTGTATACATTTTGTAAAAAGGTTCAATATACTAGATGTGCTGAAAAGTTCGCAAGTTAACACATAGATGGCGCTACTAGTATACAAATCATTTGAATCCTAGTTAACCCTAACCTTCAAAATACACGTGTACAAATTTCACAGCTGCCGGACTGTTAGTTTGTGGGATAAGAATTCTAAGTGGAGCAACTTTGCTAGTTTGGAGAAAATGGATTGAAAGAAATTTCGTGTGTGAATAAAGCATTGCTTTTTGGCAAAACAAAATACTGTGAACATATGTTCGCGACAGGTGTACCAACATAAAAAAAATCTCTAAATGAATTTACGTAGCCTGCGAAGCTTGAACAATCACCTTATTTTGTGAACATTCTTCGTATTCTATATACAGAACATTCTTCGTATTCTATATACAGACATTGATCAGTTTCACTTTCAAGTATATTGCATATACAGTATAAGTATATTGTATATCAATGAATATATAAATAATTTTTTATGAGATATATTGTCTTCTCAAGTTTGGTCTATACATTTTTTGTATATCTACATCTAACGATATGGTGGAATCAAATTCATTGGCAACAGGATTGAATTGATTTCTGTTTAGTTTCATGATCTTGAAATTAAATGTCTTTTTGTCTTATAGTAGGAAAATGTCTGTCATCGAGTACAATTATCGAGTAGATACCATTTCACTGTCACAAAGTAACTCAATTAAAGATCTTGGTGTATATTTTGATCAAAATTTGTCTTTTTCCAACCACATTAGATCAAAAGTAAGTGAAGCATTAAGAGTTTATGACTTTATAGTTCGCAATTGTAGATTTTTTTCAAAGATATCTGCTTTATTTACTCTATATGTAGCCTATGTAAGGTCAAAATTAGAATATGGCTCTGTTCTATGGTCTTCATTCTACAATTGCTATAATTTCAACGTTGTTTCCTATAGTTTATTTACTTCAATATTGAAAGTATTGAATTACGCAGAAAACTTGCTGGAATAATTTTTCTGTATAAATTACTGCACAACAATGTGGATGCTATGGAGGTGTTATCTCTTATAAATTTCTGTGTACCACATTTTAGAACTAGAAGTACAAAAACTTTTTACAGCCGACTGACCAGAACCGATTTGTATCTCAAGTCACCTTTCTTCTTTAGCATTTGCAATATTTTCAATTCAATTTCAAATTTTATTATATTATAATTTTGTTACTCATTTTCTCAAATTGTAGTAGTAGTAGTAGTTTATTTGACCAGATTATGTAGTTTATACATTTATGGCAAGTCACAGCAAATTCACAGTCATATTAGTTAAATTGAAATAAAAATGTGATGACGAGTATTTAGTAAGTCAGCTGATCTGGTATTGTGGTTATGGATGTCGGAGTTTTTTAGTAAAGTATCTTTATTGCAATGTATTTCTAGCAGAACAGTATAAATATATAAAGTAGGCAGAGGCATAATACCCAGACGAATAAAAAATTGATGGCAGTGGTCTCTGTATCCCAGGTTAGCCAAGATGCATATGGCTTTTTTCTGGCATCTGAAAGCAGCAATTGCGTTAGTAGAGTTTCCCCAAAGGAGAATACCGTACGAAAGTACAGAATGAAAAAGGGAAAAGTAAGTTCGTTACATGTTTTAACCTTCTCAGAACGAAGAGGGTACAAGATAATTTGCGAACAGCAAGGTCAAGATGATTTCTCCAGCTTAATTTGTCATCAATCGTAATGCCTAGAAACGATACATTTGCTCCCTCGCGATAATTTGAATTTGTGGAGACAATCAACTTTTGGGTTTTTTTTTCAATCAATTTGAGTTTTATTCTTCATGAACCAAAGCTTAGCTGAGTTTTGTACTGTGATGACGGAGTCTTTCAAGTTAGTGCAAGACTTGCTTGAGCAAATAATTGTTGTGTCGTAAGCGAATAGAAAACATTTAGTAGGTGCCATGGCGTGGCATAAGTCATTTATGTACACAATAAATAAGAAAGGTCCCAAGATTGAACCTTGAGGAACGCCATGCTCGATTTTTTTGAAATCAGATTTTACATTGTTTAGCTCAACACACTGAAATCTGTTTGTAAGATATGAACAAAGGAGTTCCAGAGTAGTGCCCCTTATGCCATAATAACCTAGTTTTTCAATAAGTAGGGAATGTGAAATGCAATCGAAGGCCTTGGTCAGGTCGCATAATGTCAGAGAAGTATGCCTGCCCTGATCAAGGCCTTCCACTATCTCGGCAACAACCTTGAAAGCAGCGTGGGTAGTATTTTTGTTTTTCCGGAAACCAAACTGTGATTCGCTGAAATAAAGTATGTTTTCAAAAAAAGAGTGAAGCCTATCTTTTAGGATGATTTCAATTATTTTGCCAATTAATGGAATGATACTGATTGGACGATAATTGTCCATTTGGGATTTATCGTCCTTTTTAGAAAGTGGAATCACCTTAGATATTTTCAAAGTATCAGGAAAGATGCCACTGGAAAAAATTATATTAATTAAGTAAGTCAAAGGATTTAAAATAAATTCAGCAGAGGTCTTAAACAACTTGCTATTTAGGTCATGAACGTCTCGAGAGCAAGAGTTGCTCAGTTTATTTATTGCAGTTAGTGCTTCTTGAGGGCAAACTGGCTCTAAAAATAAAGAATTTACAGGAAAAGGAAAATTTCTAAAATTATTTTATTAACTTTGTAATTATTAGGATCTATATTACTTTTTTAACATACTTAGTTAACCCTGTAAATGGTTTGTAACTGTTGGGTAATATTATTATTATGACATTTTATCAATTCTATTGAATATTCACGAATATAATGGATGCTGATTACAGGAGTTTAGTATATATTTAATGTGATACCTTTCATTACGACAATGTTTGAGACATCTACCCTAAAAATAATCCCAACAACTTACCTCTTCGAATTTTTTACAAATTAACGTGAACGCCTTGAAAATGGAACTCGTTACTCCTATGACTGTGACGATTCTTTCGGGACACGAACCATCGGATATGTTTATTTTGGCACCGCTCTGGAAACATAAGGAAGAAAATTAAATCGGCAAAAAAGAAAATATAAACACCTCATCTCTCAAGGTTTTCGGTGATTCATCTTTTACACACACACATATTCACGAGCAAAAATAAATCAGTTGACACACAAAATATATTTCGGAGGCTGCCTGAAAGATTTGGCGGTTCGCCAAGGAAAGGTCATGGAGACATTGTGCCTTCCGAAAGAATGTCTCTTTACAAAGCTGGCGAAACGATTCGCTGAACGTAATTATCTTTTCAGGAGCACATACTGTAAGAGAAAAGTTTTGTTGGGCCGGTATGAAATCAGATATACAAGAACAACAAAAATATAACATCAATCCAAAGTGGATTTAGCGATGATTATATAGAGCAGTTAACTAGTTTAGTGTTTCTTTGAATTCGAAACGTCTTGAAGACGTTTTGAAGTTAAATTCTTCAGGGCTCTGTAATCAATGAACGGAAGGTATGTTTATGAAAATTCATTGTTACAGAGCCCTAAAGAAGAATGTAATTACATTCGAAACGTCAACAAGAAAACAATTATACAGCGTGACTCACGGTCGATGGTAGGTTAGACGTTTCTGGAAAACGCAAAGCATGATTTTTCTGAAAATTTCACCTCTCACATTTCCTTACCTGTTCTATCGATCTGAAATATTTTCAGCATTGCGGCGTTGCCACTTCCATCAAAAAGTCCTAGCAACTTTATTTTTTTAAATGGAACACCCCGTATATTAATACATTTTTGGAATCGCTCTGGTATTTTGATACTTTTTTATTAATAATGTCCTATACCTATCTCTATCTGTTTTCGAGATAAAAAATAAATTGTGCTAAATATGGTCCAATAATTCTTTGACGTGAGTCATCCAGAGATGTTCATCAAGTTTTCTAGATTGCCCTCTTTGAATGACCCAAAAAATCTAACGGGTTCAAATCTGGTGACTTTATGGGCCATTCCACTGATAATCTGTCCACTCCACTGATAATTTTAATAAAGAACTGAATTTGATAAAACAGGTGGCAGTGAATAACAACTTCAATCCGGAGATCCTCGACAAAAAAAAAACAATTCAAATAAGCCGTTCAACAAGTATACCCTCACTTGAAAGATAATACTAACACTTCCTAAACACTGACATAAACAGGAAAGGCATCAAAAAAGATAAGTAGACTACTAACTAAACAGAACGTCAACACACGTTGGAATCACGCGTTGAAAGGTAAGACCTCGCTAGTCCTTAGCTCGCACAAATTTAGACTTCTGAGGGTGGTCGTTCGTAGGGGTGCGACAGCTGGTTAACGGAAAAACACATTTTAAACATATATTCAAACATATAACATACAAGACTAATAAAACCTGAAGTGGACATACAAAAAACAACAAATCCAATATCGACAAAGACAACAAATCGGCTGCCCACAGGCTAAACTGTAGCTCGTGCCCAAAATGTTATATTGGAAAAACATCTAGAAATTCTAAAACCAGAATCTTCGAACATAAATTATCAAACTTTCAAATTACCCCATACAAATGTTAATTCCCTATTTTAAGGGGTTGAGAAGTGCCATAGTGTATGTGCTGAAATACGTATTTTCTATTTGTATGGAATGGTCTATTTACCAATTTATATGAATCTAGCTTGAAAACTGACGAATTTTTATTGAGTGTGATAATCCTAGCTTACACAGCAAATTTCAGTTTTCTTTGACTTCTGGAAGTACCTAAACTATATCCATCCAACAAACAAAGATAGATGCATAATCACAGCAAGATCGCCACGCACATTTGCATCTATTGGATAAAATGAACAAGCCTCCTTACGCTGACCAATCAGATTTAACTGCAACCGGCTGGCGGAATTCATTGTTACAGTGGCGGAGTGACCAGTTACGTTTAAACGCATGTGGTACGTACATATATGGTATTTCAAAGTTTAAAATTGTTAAAATGGCGAGTACTGATACGGCTGAAAAACTGCTAATTTGTGTCCCTACTCTTCCCAAAAAAATTTCCAATATCCAGCCGCATATTATATGAAAAAAAATGAAATTTCGATCGTTCCTTAGCGCTACTCTTTACAAGCAGCCTCGTCTGGGATATCACGTGCTCTATGCATGATAATGTTTTGGAGCACTCTGTTGCTTAGATTGACAGAGTATGAATATTACTATGATCATTAGTGAGTCGGCGACAAAATCTGGGTATTTTTAGATGGTAAAATCTGAATAGCTCTACATTCGAAACTTGGCACGTTAATTTAGTTTCATTAGTACTATCCAGACCAAGGATAGGGTGTTTTTAAGACAAAATCTGTTTGGATTAAAATGTCAAAATAGGAGACATTGAACATTTTCTTTCGTAATTTGTTTCAAAGAATGGGCTTGTTTCATGATTTTTGGTTTATAGTTCACTTGATTTTAAACTGAAAAACAGTGCACTTTGTTTCATCTCTCCAAGTACCATAGTTTTCCCGTAATTGATTATTAAAAATCGAATGTGGTAGGGTGATGACGTCAAGCTCCTATTCCCGCTTCTTGTTCGATTGACCAATAGGAACAATAGAAATAATCAACATTGCCAAATCGTAAAATTTACGAAGCCTATAATTATCAATTTATTTATGGAAGTGTATATGAACCCGTTAACGTTTAAATTAATGAAAAATTCTCCACGTGGAATAAAATATACACGAAAAATCATGTTTGCAAATAAGTTCTATATCTAAAATCAGTACACAAAGTTGATAGATCACAAAATATTTAACTAAACTATGATTTTATGCATTATTTAATAATATAGTTATGAAAATCATAAAATATAGCAAACTGGATTAAAGAATCATTTAAATATTCAATTTATTCTACAATCCTCAATTTGTACAACTGCAATTTATTATATAAAAAAAAAGATTCCTACATACATACCTCTTTCCAATATAGCTACTAAATTCAAGCGTTATAGGCTCGCTTGGGTATTCTATTGAATCTTCCAAACTTGAGAGGAAGGTTGAATAAGGTTAAGTATAGACATAATTGATTGTACTCGAACTGATCCAAGAAAAGCTTCTGAGGTAATAATACCATTAATCATATGATAAAATTAAATTAATTTTGTTTCATACTTCAGTAACAGGATTAACTCCAGATAATACTTTCTGTGGAGAATACTTGAAGTTGAAATAAAAAACTCTGTCATCAAATTCAATATTTTCGTTCCCCTTTCATTTATAGCTACATTTTATGCATTCATGCCACCCACCAAAAATAAGAAATTCAACGTTACTGGTATATTAGCCATATTGTCATCCAGTCAGCTAGCGCCCTCTGTAGTGTATGCGACAATGTGCTCTTTCTAATGTCAATGGTTTCCACAAACTTCGTATTTTTTGTTAAAATAATTTCAAAATGAATGTTGAGCCTAGTTTTGTTAAAGCTGACTCCCGACAACTTTCCAAGAGTCGATTTTGAAATGATCGATGAATTTCACTTTGCAATACTTTGGTACCGAAGTGAAGGATGAAAAATTGAAACAGTAGGTGGTATATTTAGTAGGTCCCTTTTATTTATATGACATTCATTTCAGACTTTGTCTTTTATCGAAGGATGGAAAGTTTTGATTTAATTTTTATTTTATCTCAGCCAAGGAGCAGTATGGTGACTGAAAAGAGAAGCAAAAATATGTACAGTGAAATGTAGAATTACTCCAGAACATATCAATCCAAAAATAACCTGAAAAAATATTTTTCGGAATGTAAACTAATGACACGGAATATGCAGTAAAATAGGTACCCGCCAAGACCTACCTTTTACAAAAAAACGTTATGTAATTACTTAATTGTAACAATTGTATTCACACCGAGTTGACAACAATAACAACAAAAATGGCGTCTGTCAAATTGGATCATCAGATCTGTGATTGGATATTAAAAACCAATACACTTGGCAACTCCACTCTAGACTCGATCAATTTAATTGGTCAACAGACACGCGGCCAGTTTAAATTCTTGCTTTTCGAATTATTCTTTCTTCTGCAAATATAAAGAGATTTTGGGACCGATTAGGCTTGAAAATTATAATATACCCCCAACTCGATCAGTCTATAAGCAAACCATTATCATTTTCCATAGCATGAAACAAGCCCATCGTTGTCACCATTTTCGAGTACGTCAAATAAAGCAGGATAGCACTCTTAAAATGTTTCTTCGAATTACAGGTCTTCTGAGTGTTATAATTTTGTCGTGAATATGCATATTACTATTTCTGGATGATTACACTATAAACAATTCATCTTTACTCACCTCTTCTCTGAACCTCTTCACAATTTCTCCTTTTTTTCCTATTATGCTGCCAACTTCCTGCAACAAAAATAAAACAATATAAATGGTCGTCGAATGATGCGAAACAGAAGACAATCAAACTACTATAACAGTAATCGTCGACGCTTTGATCGATAACCTGGCGAACTTTTTTAATCAAAATACATTAATGTTTGAATGCTCGTTAGACCAGTTCTTCGTTATTCACGAGTGGATTGGAATGCAATCCGACCGAGTAAACTCAAATAAGCAATGAAATGTGTCGAACAAAACAGATTAATTTCAATTCGAATCCCGACCCATTCACAATTTGACAGTTTATCATGGAACATAATTAATATACACTTATCTAATTTGTAATTATTCCCCAATATTTTCACTACTTCAAATGATGCATATTGCATTTTTAGAGACAAATCTATAAAAAAGGTATTCAAATTATTACTTCCCCTTTCCCAAAAAACAACAAAAATTACAATATATTCAATACTTGAGACATCCTAAAATATTCAGTTTCGTGATTTGAATGAATTCTCTTTCGGAAAGTTTTTGGGCTTTGCATGTGTCTTTTTTTCGAAAATTGAGTTACCCAGCTATAAACATATACAGTGTGTCCGCAAATTATGGAATACATTCGATATTTCCAAAACCAACGGTCATTTTACAAAAACTTGAAACACGTCGATTTTTAATTTTTATATTCTACATTTTATATATTATATATTCTAATTTCATTATACAAGGTGTTCCATATTAATGTGATGACGTGATCTGTATGTTTTTAAATGCAACACCCTGTATCTGGTGTCAGTTTTAGAAAATCCGTAACGAGCTGATTCCGAAATGGTATGATACTTGGGGTCTAACGGACATAGTTTGAAAGATGTGACTTCATTTCAAATGTTCGAACTGTAGTCCTTGCTGTAGTTAACAGTAACCGTGCTAAAAAGTATTTCTTATTAATTTCAAAAAACTAGGCGGCTAGTTTTTTTGTTATTGTGAAATGTCATTATTTTGATTGACGTTCAGTAACTGTTAAATAGGATAAGAATTAATTCGAATTTTCTGTAGTATTGCTTCGAATTAATTTGAAGTAGTAATGAATTTAAGTGTAGAGCAAAGAATTGAAATACTTATTATGATTGGCTACTGGTACAGTTGAAAATGCACGCAAATCAGGTTGTCCTTCTGTATATGATGATACAAAACTAGATGTTCTACTTTCTTTTGAAGAAGATGTGCACACTTCTGTTCGTAAGGTTAGTCGTGATTTCGATGTCAGGAAAACAACTGTACACAAAGTATTAAAATTGTAAAAATGGCATCCCTTTGAAATCGAACGAGGATGATCCAGATAGAATATAATTTTGTGAAGCCATGATGGATAACTGTCACTGAGACCGAAACTTTTACATTAAATGGTGGGGTCAACCGTCAGAATTGTAGGTACTGGGCCAAAGAAAACCCCCACTGGATGCGTGAGCATCATACACAATACCCGCAAAATGTAAATGTATGGGCTGGCATTGTAAGAAACAGGATCATCGGACCCTACTTTCTCGACGGTACTTTAGACGGGCCAACATACCTTCATTTTTTAAGGGGATATCTTGTACCTACTTTAGTTAATTTATTTCCCAGTAGAATTAATCCTGGAAATTTTGTTGGAAGTTTATGGTTTCAACAAGATGGTGCGCCTCCACATTATGCTGCAGGTATCTCGACCAAATGTTTACGAGTCGATGGATTGGTAGACGTGGGCATATTAAATGGCCAGCGAGGTCGCCAGACTTAAATCCGTTGGATTACTTTATGTGGGGCCATCTGAAGAATGTTGTTTATAAAACGAAACCAGCATATATTCAAAAATTAAAAGAGATAATTCGAACAGAAATAAGCAATATTTCAAGAAACCATAAACAAGGTTCAACAATAATTTATTCAACGTTTAGGTTACTGTCAAATACAGCAAGGACTACAATTCGAACATTTAAAACAAATTCATGTATTTATGGCTAGATTACTTTTCCATTGTTGAATTAATCATCAGAAAAAATAAAATGATTAATTAATTTATACTTTCATTAGATATCAATAAAATTAATTTTCTAAGCGAACATTTTTCAAATTCTGTCCATTAGACCCCAAGTATCATACCTTTTCGGAATCAGCTCGTTACGGATTACCTAAAACTGATATCAAATACAGGATGTTTCAATTTTAAAAAATACCGATGACGTCATCACATCAATATGGATCACCCTGTATAATGAAATTTTGTTGTAAAAATCTAGAATATTAAAATTGAAAATCGACGTGTTTCAGGTTTTTGTAAAACGACCTTTGGTTTTGGAAATATCGAATTTATTCCATACTTTGCGGACACACTGTATATACTTTTATTTCAACATCCTGAAAGTTGTCTTAAAACTTCAAAACCTACACAAAAATCGATTTTTTGCAAATTTTTGGCAACTATCTTGTTTCCTATGGGTTTTTTGTTATTTGTATTCATCATCAGTATTGTAGTGGATTAAATTCCATACAACTTTTGTTACAAAAGAGCGCGCAGTAGACCTGGTCAAAAAACTTCATATAGAGTTCATTAATTATTGATAAATACATAATTAACAATCATTTTCATTTCTTATCAAGTATTACATTATATTTATTGTTTCCGTCATTAATTAAATATTTATCAATTCAATAACCGATAACTAAAATTAAAAAATAATCAAGGGACAAACTTTATATACATTTCAATTTTTGAAAGCATTTGAGAGATTGCCGTAATCAGATCAACATACAGATGCAACTTGCATTTGAAGAAGAAAACTGTCCGGTTCAAAGATTTCATTTGCGAATGGAATTGTAATAACTGTCATTGCTGTCATTAACGTAAAAAATTATTTTATTCGTTGAGATCGAGATCGAACACCCGGTTCTTCCGTGACGATATTTTCCCAAATGAAAAAGCGTTCGAACTACTTTATGACTGTCGGACCTTCGAGCTTCGTTGTGATCATGTACAAGTTGGGCTAGACTAAACAAATGTATATATTATATCCTGCCGATGATCATACGCTTGGGAAGGTTAAAAACGCTGAGATGAGGTTGTTGTGGCTAGCGTTGCTGACACGAAGGCTTGGGAGTTTTTGCGAGAGACACAAAAAGTCAGTCACCGGAGCCCGTCGAGACGAGTTCGGGGGTCTCACCCCTCAACCCTTAACCTTCGAGGCTGAGGAAGGTGGCCTAAATAGGAGAGCTATTTTGTTTCTAAGCGCGTGACCGAAACTTAAAGAAAATCGGTAGTGAAATCGTGAACCGGTAATGGGTAAAGGAAAGTTGAAAGTAAAAGTGTTGGTGTTGAAGACACACCGGGTCAACGGAGCCTATATAGTCAAAATACAAGTTTATACGAGATGACTGGACTATATGTATAGTCTTCGTAGGTATATGACGTCTTTAAAAGTTTAACAACAAAACACATAGACAACTTTACTCAAAGACTCAAAAAAAAATCAAAACGTCATCTGGACAAAGGCAAACAGCGGTCATTCTTGATTCGCTACGTCTTCTCAGAGCACAAGATTCCCAAACCCAATGATCACTACCTCACCGTTGTAGGAGTGGTCAAAGGTGAATGATACTGCGGATACATGGTCTCTACAGCCAGACCAGGTTATAAATCGTTTACTACTCAACTCCACAACGAACATTTTTCCCATATCGACCAGACTACTGGAAAGACACAGTCCTCGTACGCAGCCAGCCGTTTTAATTTCATCGAAACGAATTCCGCGTCGAAGACATTCAATCGTCGAATACCGGTGTCTCGAAACGTCGCGTCGCCCGAGTAATCACCGTAATCCCGTTCGCCTTCGCGTCGCCGATTATATTTCATGCTAATTACCTCGGCAAATTTTCCGTGAGATGAAATTCCGCGTGGAAACAAAATCTATAGCAGAATTTGTGTACTACACGGAATTTTACTACTTCAAGTATCGCTTTTGAATAATTCATGAGGCGAAGAAGCGTAGCCCATTGAGAAATGCGATTCGGTTCTAGAGCTCGTGAGGCATATTGGTAGCAAACAATTCGAATATGTCGAAACGAAACAAGATTTCATCGTTACACCAGCAATATTAGGGCTTTCATCTCGGAATGAAAGATAGTCAGCTATAAACTTGTGTTGTTAACCTTTACTTTGACACACTAAAACTTTCTTATTAGTCAGTGCCTTGAAGACAGGCAGTAAATAAATCTAAAGAACTGAACTTTAAATGTTCGGCGTTGGCACTGACGCCTGTCGGATATAATCCAACGCCGTTCGTGGTATTAGCCAGTGGAGTAGTTGTTTTCTGATAGGCGTCAGTCCATTCAGCCTACTGTGTAGGTATATCTGAGACGGGCTTGAACATTTAAAGTTCATTTCTTTAGATTTGTTTACTGCCTGTTTTCAAGCATAACCCACTGACTAATAAGAAAGTTTTTCTTCCCTATTCAGAGGAATCGGGCAAATTACGGATATGCAGTTAGTTATTACCTCGTCCACTAGATGGAGTGACATTTTTGATGTTCGCTCCAACTTAAGACGAGGAATGAAATACTCTGAAAGAATTTCAATTTTCAATTATGGAATATCATTGACTTTAGGCTTTAGGCCGATGGTGACTATCTTGCACTGACGAGTGGCTAAGTAGCCTAAACCGGTCTGCAAGTGTACCTGTTCCAAAATTGAAAGTCGACTCTATCAGTTGTATTGCCGATTGCATATGCAGAAAATGTTCTGTGAAGATTCCTGCACTGACGCCTGTCGGATATAATCCAACGACGTTTGTGGTATTAGCCAGTGGAGTAGTTGTTTTCTGATAGGCATCAGTCCATTCAACTTACTGTGTAGGTATATCCGAGACTGGCTTGAACATTGAAAGTTAATTTCATTAGACCCTAAAACTTGCCTCAAAACCTACCAATCAATCGAAGGGTGTCCGCGACTACATACATTTCAAGGTTAAAGGTCGAAAAACCGATTTTTT